CCTGAAGCATATCAGTGATGACTGTCCTCAATATGTGGCTTGTTGTCTTATGCTTCTGTGGATTCTGTTATTCCAGGTCGTTAACACAATTCTCAGAAAAAAAGAGTTATCTACATTATCTGCGAGATATATAAAGTTACATACAAAAAATAGAATCTTAGTAAGGAATAAGTCAAAATGTAAATTCCAATTTATAATTTAAAGGGAACAGAACACTCTTGGTAGCAGATTGAATGTACTGGAACTAAACAATCATGATTAAAAAGAAAATCATAAGCTACCAGAATTGAATTGGGGAAGGAAGAATTTATGGATTGTTTTGGAGGGGGGCTGTGTTATGCTACCAAACATTTTTAGAAATGAAAATCACTCGATGACATGTAATCCATTTGAGATTGTTTCCAAGAAAACAAGTGAATACATTTAATTATGCTAGATGGAAACATGCAACCAGAGAAAAGAGCTAATCCACTTGCCTATCCCTGGCAGGTAATTTAGGGTGGACCTGTAAACTATTGTTGTTTACTTGTTTATATTTGCCAAGACCAAATCCCTGTCTGGACACTAAACATGCCACTCTGTCAAAACCTAAGAAAGGTTACATCTGAAATCCTCTTCAGCTGGAGAGCAGCAGTAGGGGTTACCAAAGACAGAGTAAGAGCTCTATATAAGTAGTGGGTTTCTTCTGCCACTGTGGTTCATTAACACGAACAGATGTTCCTTTTCTACAGAAGTTGTTCAGTGTCAGTTTCATGGTCTGTGATCCAAAGCAATCCTTTTCCAAACTTTGAGACTTTATTGCTTTCATGTTATAAACAAGGTTAAGGCTAGGGGTCGCCACAACTGTTCTAGGACCCTGCTGGGAGTTCTTGGGCAACTGTGTGGTTGTGGGGAATGACAGGAATATGTAAAAGATCAAGTTTACTACGCTTAGTAATGACTTGCTTTTGGTGGCCCATCCCACTGCCAGGTACTGCCCCGCCTGCATGCCCTGTGTGCTCAGGTATACGGCCAGAGAGCAGGGCAGCCTAGCTCTCACTGCAGCACTGCTCTTACTGCATAGGACACCCCAGGGGGATTTTCAGAAACCCCAGCATTGAGGCTGCCACTGGGACAGTTACACTGACCCTCTGCAGATGGCACCAGGGAACTAGTCTGTAAGATCCCTGAGAGACTGCAGTAGAGTGTCAGGCCTAAAATCAAGCTCTCAGACCTGCATTTGCTTCAAACCTATGTCCAGAAGTAGTGAAGTACGTTATAAGAGCTGTGGGCTAATTTATTATAAAGTCATCATCATGCAGCTAATTCTTTGGCACAATTTTCTTCAAGTATGTCAGACAAAGAAAAACAAATCTTTCTATGGGTGCCCTATGAATTCTGAGATCATGGTAAAGGTTATTTGGATGTGTATGTTTTGTGTTTATTTTTTACTTTTTAAATAGTAGGTGGTACATACATGGTAAGCAGAGCTTTGGAGGCAGATGGTCTGGGGAAAAATCCAACTTCTATTACTTATAGAGTCTGTTGCCTGGGCAGCAAAGTTAATACTTTTAAACCTCATTTCATGGCCCCCTTTCCACCTATAAAACAGTACTTTACATGAGACAGTTTGTGGAAAGCACCCAAACAGTCTGACACATGCAGCATTCACTAAGTATTTATTAACCATTCTTTTGTAGAAAAAATAAGATAGAGCTATACACAAAATTAGAAGCTTATGTATACTCTTACTTTGGTAATTGTGCTAAATCTCTTAAGTGTTAACATTTGTATTATGCTTTAAGTAAAACAGTGATCTACTTTCAGGTTCTAAGGTTCTACATAGATATTTTTGAGCAAAGGGATTTTGCAAATGTTTAATATCCCTTATATTAATCTAATTCACTTTTACTCCATACATTAAAAAATTCATCGTTAGAAATATCACAGGACAATGCAATCTTCTGTCTGAAGTCTTTCTGGTTGGGTTAATTACAAAGATGCCTATTGTAAATATGGGGAAAGATACATGGATAAGTTTCTGGCTTTTGTGAGATTTACAAAGAATTTGTATTTGGCACTATTCTCTGGAAACTTTGCTGACTGTGATAATGATGCTAATAAGACTTTCTTAGTAACAAAGGTGAACTGAAATAAAATACAAAGAACCACTGATTTCACTTGACTAGCACAGGTGCTAAATATGGCCTTGAATCTTCAGCAAGTTCACAAGGTTTAATATTCAGGGAAAAATTCTGATGTTCAGTTCTGGTGGGAATATCCTCCTTCAGTTGTCCATCATAATCTCAGTGAAGAAGGAAATAGAATTTATAATTGTTATTATATTGGCTGATGATTGGAAACACATTACCAATGCACAAATTAGAGCCTCTAATCCTAAAGTAATTAACAGCCAATTTCAGAGTTGTTAACAAGATTAAAATTGTGAATATATTATGTGAATCACCCTCACAAATCAAATTTTGATTAGATAATACTACATGCTGATATATATATGCTATTCAAATTTCTTAAAAGCCTTTTTAGTATAAAATCTTTGATAAAATTTTTCAATAATGTATGCAGAGTTAGAAAAAGAGAATGCATGATTGATGGTTTTCCCTTATAAACCTTATTAAAAGTCCTGATTTGGTTGGTATCCAACTGCTTTGGCTTAGAATTAGGAATTATTTTTGATGAAGGCTCATGTGCATTGACTAGAACAACATCTCACAGAACTAGCAAGAAACCAAGTTAATCACTAGAAATGTGAATGGAACAATATTTCAGAGCACAAGTTCTTGAAGATTCTGCTGTTTGATTTTATAGGATACATGCCCTTAAAATGCCTCAACAGTAGAAACTACATAAGGACATATTGACCTATCCATTCCATGTAGGTCATATTTGATTCTGCCTGAAAGTATAATCCTTCTGTCTTTAGCAAAAGTGGTGGGAAGGCAGCAGCTTTGGAGGGTCTCCAGTAACTGGGATGAATTTCTAATGTCTCAAGAGCTTCATTTGTACGATCTTTGGACTACATATTGCTTCTTAAGCAAAAGTGGTTAGTCGTCAACAAAAGGACTTTGGATCACCAGTTTGGTCCAAAAATCAGTAAAGAATAAATTATAGAAACAGAAACTTGACACATACCACAGAATAGAGACTCTCAATTTAGTGCTTCTTGAGAAGAATGAAGTAATTTTGCAAATCATAACCCTGAATAGAATATTCTTGTACATAATCACACATGAAGGGGAAACTGGAATTTTAAAGGTGAACAGTACATATTTAAAATGTTATTGACATAGCCCTCATTAAAAAAAAAGTCCTCAATAGAGTTTATTCTATCAGAATGAATGAGAAGTGGTCTGTTTGAACACTTATTCACTGGACTACTGAATTTAAGTTCTAGTCTTCCAGTATGGTCTTCTTCTCTACTACTCTTATCTTTCTCTAATTCAACCCATACAATGATTCCGGAGTCATCTCTGTTAAAACACAGTGGTGACCATTTCCCTCTTCTGTTTAAAGAATATCCCCACTTCCTCTCCTTCTCCCTTAGTTCTGAAGATCCTTTAGGTATTTATTCCACTTGGAGTTCTAGCATCTTCTCTCATCTCTATGCCACCTCCACTGCACACATCAGTTGTATAAATACTTCCTCACCTACTGTGACACACTCTTGTAAAGACTGGCCACAGTTTCTGGAATGTGCTTTTTTAACAGCTGCTCCAAAAGACTCCTCTTCAAAGACTGTTGGTAATTGTGGCACATCATTGCTTCCTGAGGAATAGTATGGAGAAAAAGCTTATAGATAACAAGATTTTGGCATCCAAGAAAATATTTAGTTGCAGAGAAATATACATTTATACATAAGGTACACATTCTTTCAACCCTGAGTGAACAATTATGTGTTTTTCCAAACTAAAAATATAAGAAAACCTACCTGACTTGATCCTACGGCGAAACAGAAATTACTGTAATAAAACAAATTCACTGAAATACATGGCCATCATAACAGGCTTTTAAAAAAAAGCCAAGTTCACGTCTCTGCCCTCCTCATTTGACTGTGTTTGGCAATTCTTTTGATTATTTTTGTCCTCAGGCAAGGCTGCCAAGTCCTTTGCTAAGCTCTGTGCATCCCATAGTTCCTGGTCTCCTCATTCCCAGTTCCAACTCTGCTGCCAAGATCCCCTCACTACCCTGGCATCAAAACAAATGCTCCCATGAAAGAAAGCTACCCTAACAATCAGTGTGCGTGTAAGGCAAGTAGCAATTTGCTCAAAATTCTCTCTTTAAAAAAAGTCAGATGGAATACAGTTTTGAGTCTTATAGTCCTTTTGTTGATAGTGTGCTGCTGGTTGTGCTATCTCTACCTCCTCCCCTTGGCCCTGTTTCTTTTATTTATTCAATTATATGACCATAAAATTTGTCTTTAAGTATGGAAGGACATAAAATACTGAGATTTTAGTGCCAGCTGTTCCCATAATGAAAATTAAAACATCTGATGACTGTGGGAAAGAATTGAGTAGTAATTCTGATAAATATTTTAAATACACCCTATAGTCTACAATCAAATACATGGACTCTTGGAATTCAAACTGCTGTGTCATACAGTTTTAGAGGAGGTAGTTAAATCCTAACCTATATTTTAGAGAAAAAGCGAAGTTTCTAACTTGTAAGAAAAATCGCATCATCCTCTACAAAACTCTTTTCTAACAATGTAATCAGAACCACTTTCCATACCCTCAGGGATCCTAGTATGATTAACCTGTTATCCACTTTCCCAAATCAATGAGACCAATGTGGGTACTTCGAGTAGAATTTCTTGTGATACAATCTAAGTTACTTAAAAAAATTATAAAAGCAAAAGATTCTGGGATTTGTTCTTCTCAGAAGCATAAGGCAAAAGAAGTGAGGCATTAGTAATACTTCAGAACACAGAGAACAAAAGAAATCACTCAGCACCATTCAGCATACTCTCACTCAGGAGGTTCATGCATATTTAAATGAATTAATTTATTTTCTGCAGTTTGCTCTTTAAGAGCTTAAGTGGCCATTTGCTGTTGCTTATTTCAGGATTCTGTGCCCTTGTTCTGAGTCACCAACTTATAGTTTGAGTGCTCCAGGTGTATTTATGCTCCCAAAGTATTTTAAATTACCCATTAGGAAACCCAATTTCCTATTTATAAGACTCAGAAGTGATTTTCCACTGTTAACTTTTTTCTTAATTAAGAATATAGGCCTGAATTCACAGCTAAACTTTTGGTTCTACATTTATTCATTGGCTCAGCATTCTAGAATCTCATCAATACGAGCATCTTATGTAGTCACACAGGATGGGCCACTCTTGGGCTTGTGTGAAATTGACATTTTGGATATCCATAAAAGTGGTCAATCATCATAGCAGTGACTGTGGCTTATTACACTTTGAATCAAGCACATCTGCTATCTCATTTAAACCTTTCTACAGTCTTGTGACATAGTTATTAGTTTCTCTACCATGATTGCAGTGTTAGAGATGAGATAAATGTAGACTTACAGAAGTGAATCACTAGGCAACACATTCAGTAATTAGCAGAACTGGTATTTAAACATCCCTACCTCTTCACACACAATCAGGGAAAAGGGCAAGGGCAATTATACAAAATATTACAATTCGAGTCTACAAGTGACTGAGACATCTAAGAAGTACTTTGAAAATTTAGCAAAATGTAAGTTTACATCTGATTAAAAGGGAAATCTTTAAAATGCAAGTGTTCCTTTGAGCCCATCTAGAAAATGAGGTAGAATTCAGAAAAGTTATGCATTTCAGGCCATCAGGTAAATAATCCTTCCTAGGGCACTGGCTTTGAACTATGGGTGGCTCTGAAAATAATGAATGTAGGACTATGGCAATTTGGTTTTTTTATGGATCAAAATTTGGTGACTACTGCCTGCTCTTGGCTTCCACCAATATGGAAATTTTTCAATATGGAAAATTCCTATATTGAACGAAAAACTCTTTCAGACACTACAGAATTACACTTTAAATATTGAGTTCTGTCAAATGACATCTCAGTCATATTGTTAAGTAGAATGCAAATCTTTGGCAAAACTATGACTTTTTGAGATTCTTTTCATATACTATTTCTGATTCTATCCCATGTGATGCCTCAGGTATGTCTTCTATGTCTTCAGGCTACCTTTCCTCCTAGCAATGCTCTGAACCTGCTTGCATCTCCACATCCTGGTCCAGTGTAGCATCCATTATTCCCATTTTGTCTTGGGAGACAGGAACTAAGAATGTCACTTATAATGATGTAGTTTGAACATGAGGTTTACCAGCCCCAGATTTAAGCTAATCCTTCTTTCCTGATAATCTAATTTTACTACTTGCCATCTAACCATATTCCATTAGAAAGACCTTGGATTTTATCTTAGGGGAAATCCTCTAAGGCATACATAGGAATCTCATTTGGGGATTCCTTTATTTAGCAGTTATATATTCAGTGCTTACTCTGTACAGGAACTATATACCATAGCAGAGGGTGAAATAGGCAAGCTCAAGAATTTAACTTTTAGTAAGAGGAAGACAGACAGTAATTTAATAAAATGATGTCAAATGGCAGTGACTGTAATACAGAAAACAAAAAGGATGCGGTGTTGGAGAATACCTGTTCGGAGGGGAAGGTATGGTGCTAATGTAGAACTGATTATTTGAAGCAGTCCCTCTCAGTCCCTGAACCAATGCCACTGAAGCAGACACTCAATTCATTGTATATGATGCATGAGAAGGTTATGTGGAATGTGGCCATAGTAATCCAGCCAGCAGGAAAGGCATGTACAAAAGCCCAAGGCAGGAACTAAAAGGACAGGGAGACTAGAGTTAAGTTAGAGAAAGGCTGGTACCTAGGCTGGGGAAAAGGGAGTAAGAACTGGAAGGGAATGCAGCTGTTATTCTAAGTAAGAGTCACTGTGCCACATGGAGATTCTTAAAAAAAATACTGAAATAAGAAATTCCATTTAACCTAGTTATTCCTCTTCCAGGTATCTTCCCAAGAGAGGTAAAGGCATCCTATTATGTGACTCATGTGCACCCACATTTACAGCAACACAATGCATAATAACTGATTCTTGGAAGCAGCCTATACGTCAATCAACAGGTGAATGGACAAGAAAATGTGGTGCATATGCACAATGGAGTATTAGTCCACTATAACAAAGGATTTGGTGCATTTGTAGGAAAATGGATAATGTCAAGTGAAGTAAATAAGATACACAGCTTAAATATGGCATGGTTTCTCCTATATGATAAAATCCAAAATATAAATGAAGGGCAAAACAAGAAATAGATAACAGGAAGTCGGGAGATAGCTCTTACTCCAGTGGGAAGGGGAGCAAGGGATGGAGGGAGGGGGAAGACAAGGGAAGGAAGGAGGCGAAGAAAGCAATTGAGGTGTGTCCTGTACAGGTACCAGCTCCTCACAAGGAATGCAAACACACGCACCGCAAACATGGACTAATAAGAAGAAGTGTTCTGGTGCTTTATGTGTAATAATTGAACAAGAGGACTCACTAGGAAGTCACTGCAGGATTTCAAGAGTGATAATAAGATGGCCCAGTAGAAGAGATGAGGAGAAGGGGAGAAGGAGGACTGAGGCTCCAGCCTTTGGACTGAGCAACTGTGACAAGGGGAAAACAGACAGAAGGCCAGGCGGGGGCAGAAATCAGGTTGTTTATTTGATATTCCTGTTAAAGTACACAAGGTTCCTAGAGTACTCAACAATGATGTACTCAATAACAGTTTTAAGTAGTTACTCTTCTTGGTCATAAGAATGAGTCTAAACCAGATGGAGCTTCTACACCATTGGGCGGATTATGTTCCTGGAGCCTCAGAGCAAATGAATAGTCAGGTGGGCTGGAAATACACGTAGGAGAAACAACGGCCTTTAAATGTATTTAAAATTACAGGTCTTGATACAATCAAAGGATGTTACATACATGCATGGAAACCACAGTTCTACAGTTAATATGCACTAAGGAAACACAGTTTATAAGTAAAAGCAAGAAAAGAGGCAGGACAGGCCAAGCAGAGGAGCATTTTGTTTATTTGTTTGCTTTTTTTGTTTACATTATTAGTATTATTTTTGCAGCACCAGACACTGAATCCAGCCACATTTTAAAAAAATTTTTTTTTATTTTGAGCTGGGTGTTAGTAATACCCTGGAAATTGCTGGAAGTTGCTGGAAATTGCAATCACCTGACTCAGTCTCCCAGGATGCTGGGATTATGGGCATGTAACAATCTTTTTAAAAAATATTTTTAATACTAGGTATTTCTTAGACAAAATATTTGGCTTCAATGTGGTATTAAACATACTTATAACATCTTTAGATCATATCCAGACCCCCATTATCTTGTAAAGAATACAATTTTCTTAAAGAGAAGTGAGGCAGGCCCAATATATCTATTGGTTTCTAGGTAAGAGACCTGTGTTAAATTAGAGGATGTTGATGAACAAGTGAGTTCCACTTCCCTCCCCTGAATTTGAGATGGCTTCGGTGAAAGTGCACTTACTGACAACCAATGACTCTCTCCCTTCTTCCATTCCTTCCTCCTTGCCAAAAATAAAACTGAACAGACAACACAGATAATTATGTATTTTGCACTAGAAAACTAAATCATTTACGATGGCTGTAACAACTACCAGCAAATCAGTAACAGCAGCTGGATGTATAATGAGCCATCCATAGGTGAAATGGGAGGGTTCTCATCCTGGCTCTCATCCTCACAGCCCAAAGCTGTACACTGCTGTGAGAGATATTATCTTAACAATGAAATTCCATCTGCCTTCAGGAATTCAAACGAAACATCAATACTACTTACATTCAGTTACAGATTATTATAACAGACTAAGATGCACTATGGCACTTCAGAGCCTCTACTTGGGCTCCCCCTGCCCACACCTGCTAGCCAGGGAGAAATGTGGAACTGTACAATACTTGCTGTTGTTCAAAATACATAGAAAAGTTTTCTTGTTCCTTTTTTTTTTTTTAAACCCACTTTCCTTGATAGGCATTTTAAACTTGCTACACCCTAAATTTAACCCAGAGCCACATCCACTGATGCGGAGACCTGAGCTCTGATAAAGAGTCAGGCCATTTATCACGAGTGCCATCCTCAATAAATGTTTTCACCCTAGTAACTAACTTGACATCGCACATTTCATTCATGACCTCCAGCTGCAAGGTGGAGGTGGGCATACCTGCCTTTAAAGTAACTCTGCCCTCTTAATTTCCTCTTGCAGCCTCTCCTAGGACCCTGACACTCACACACACACACACACACACACACACACACACACACAATTTTACCCAGATTGTCCTCATTCTTTCCATTTCTCTCTAGATATCTAGAGTTTCTTGGCTTCTTTTAATCTTTCAAAATAATTTGACTTCTTTTATCTGGGGCATAGGAGCCTCCTGGATAATGAAACCTCCTATCTAGGTATCTTCCTGGATCACTGACAAAGTTCTCTTCACAAGCTTAATAAATGTGCCGTCACTGTATTGTAAATGTGCACATAACTCCCTTTAACCACGCCGAAGAATGGAAATCTGGCTTCTGTTCTCACTGTGCTACCGCTTTTCTACATTTTCAAAAGTGATCAAAATATCCATTCGTGAAACCCACCCATCTTACCTAGTTCTGCATCTGATCCAACTTACAGATCCCTGTTGCGAGGTGACTTCTTCCTCGGATAACCTGTGCAGTCCTTTCCTCCCCTGCCCTGATCACACTTATGTAACACTGCTAAAGAATGCTCCATAGGAAACAATCAAGCAAGCTGAACTGAACATTGATTTTTCTTTTTGCAAAGTAAATATTATAACCCGATGAACAATGACATACTAATAAGAATCAATTGAGTTAATCTTTGTTTCTACCTGCCCTCAAAGGAGAGGATTTTTGTTACCATTTTCAACATCTAAACGGGGAAACTAAATAAAATGTTTCAGACTTTGACTCATGTTCTGAGCCAGAAACCAGTGAGACCAAAAAAAGCATTGGAGGGAGCAGAGGATTCATCTGAAACTCCAGTCTGCAAAGAGTTAAGGGTTTCTGTCCCTATATGGCCTTCATTACACACACACACACACACACACACACACACACACACACACACACACACACACAAAACTTTTCTTTGGCAATATTCACATTGTATATCACATCACATTAAGTGACGACTTTTGGCAGGCTATGGAAATATTTCTACCAGTAAAAATTAACTTTTCCTTCATTATTCTGATTACTTAAATTTTATGATAAAGAAATCTTACTTTATTACCTTTCTACACTGTGTAACTGACTTTGTCCCATTACAGAATTTATGTGGGCAATATGTATTATTCATTTAATAATGTTTTTAAACACATAAAATATGTATGATATTATGCTAAACAAGTAAGAGGAACCACATATGAGAAATGACAAATTTTATAGACAAATGAATTACAATAAAGGGAAAAAGAAATATGCATAAAGGATAATAACACACACACAATTTTTCTCTCCTTTCCTCTCTCTTTCCTAAGTTGTGTGGCCTACTTGAGGAATTCAAACAAATGAAAAATTGCATTTAGTTGTGAAAGGTTCATGAAGGATGTGATTTAGAATGGTCCTTGAGGAAGGGATGAGGGGAGTATTTTACAGGAGAACACAGTCTATGTTATAGGACTGGAGTCCTTTATGAGGGGGAAATGGCAAGTATGTTTGATCTTAAATGCTTTTAAAAGCGTCCTAGGGAGATGGAACAAATTAGTGCAATTCTACTAGTAGGAATAAAGAATAAAAACTAATTCAGGAGATGGAAAAGATTTCAAATAATTTAGTTCCAAGTGATTCATTTTAAAGAGAGAGAACTGGGTAGTATGGTAGGTAAGAAATGCATGTGTATTTACCTCCATGTTTGCAGGAGCAGCGGATAGGATGAGAAAGCTCCCAGAGTCATCTGTCCTTGGTCACTCTGCTCTGTGAGCTCAGAGTAATGCCCCATGCTGTGCCCAAGCACGGTATCTATCTATAGCGATGATCCTTATTGAATTCCCATAGTTATTTGCAAGTGTAACACAAAGGAGTAGGAAATAAAATTTATATTGTTTTGATTTCCAAAAAACTCAGCGTTTGGTAAATGCAAGTTCAATCAAAATGCCTCAGGTATTTGTATTTTATTTTGCATTTCTATTTTGTATTTCAATTTGTATTTTATTAATACGTCAAATTTAAATTTCCCAAAAGTCATTTTTATTTCATGGAAGACTTGCCACCTGTATACTGCACATAAGTAACTTTCTAAGTGATTAAAAATAAAAAGTAGTCTTCAGTTGTACCTGGGGGGGGGAGCCTTCTTTGATAATATTTTGCTATGAACGTTTTCAAAGGCATCACTATACACAGGAGAAAAATCAGATTTAGGGATAGTTGAGACAAGCTGTTAATGAGCAATTAAAAGTGGCTCGGAAAGTAGATGAGTGGAAAAGGCCGGTGGGACTCCCTAAGAGTGAAACCTTGAGGTTAAACTGAGAACACTACCAAGGATGATGTGGGTGGGCAGTGGGCTGGCTGAGGAACCTGACATTGTGAATGAATCATCGAAGCACCTCACTGACACGGTCAGAGATCCTTGGGCTAGAATCTTGGGTACGTGAGTAACAGTGTAAACTCCCAGTCCCAGCTGTGCTCTGCACTTCTGATAAATGAAAACTTTTAGCAGGTGATGACAGTGATGAACTGGATATAACTGCATTCTTGCTCTACTCCCTGAGTTTGAGGAAGCTGCTCTTTAGGTAATCTCTACTCCTATTTTCTCTTAAAATGTAACAAAATATATTTTATTCTTGTTATGCAAATATTTACTTACAATACTCCACTACAAACTTGGTGAGAGGTACTGAGATACACATGTAAGATCTCTGATATGCCTGCTTCTGTTTTGGTCTGCATACTGGGCAGTTTCCCAGTCTCATTCCCCTTTCTTTTCATTTGGATCTAGTATTCTCCAAGTATTTTCAGCTTTTTAAAAATGTTTCCCCTACTGTGTGAACCACACAGTGGGAAAACCTCCTGGGGAAGGGCAAACAGTGCACGCCATCCCTTCCCAGGTTCCTAAAAGCTGTCCTGGTTTCCGTCTGATTGTTTTCTGATGGGAACATTTGTTGCAACCAGACAGGACATGAAAGAAGACATAAGCCCTCTCCTCCGCACACCCAGCTGCGAGAATATGCAGTGCAGATCCACCCATTTCTTGGTGGCTTTGGCAGCTAGTTTCCAAATGGAAGGAAACCGTGAACATGACTCGCCAATCCTTTTGTCCAGAAGAGAGTCTGTGAGGCCTCCTTGGACCATATGATGAGATGGTGACAGAGAACCTGAGCCACTGTGTCATCTTTCACCATATCACTAGCTGAAGCATGAATTTTTTCCTGCTGCTACATTTCAGGGATAACACAAAATAGGAAATCACACATACAGAAGGAAGTCTTATGTTATACAATAATCTCAAAGATTTATTTTCTCAAGGGGATTAAAGGTTTGTTTTGTTTTTTGTTGGCTGTGTTATTTCAACGTCAGATACCTTTTACCTTTTCTCACTAATTTAATTCTATTCTCATCCCTGGAAGTGAAAAGATTGTGTAGTTCTTTGATGTACTCCATTAGTTTGACAATTTATCCATCTATTATGTAATCTGCATCCATCTATTATGTAATCTGCATGTCCTGAAGTGTATCAAAATATATTTTATTAGTATGCAAATAGCCACTCTATAGCATACTACACTTGGGCACATGTACAAACTCATTAGAAACTTCATTTGGGATAGTCAGATAGTGATAAAAGTCACTGATACTTCTGTATTGGTCTGCATACTGGGTATTTCCCAAAGCTGATCTCCTCTTCATTTAATTACACCTACTGTTCTCCAAATGTTTTCAGCTTTTTTGACCTCTGAACAACAAAGAGGCAATTCACCAACAAGAAATCTGCTCCTAATTTAAACCTCTACAACCAAATAATTGTAGCTGTTAATGTTTTTCTTTTTCATACCTGAATCTCTGAGTACTCCAAAGCCTTGTTTGAATTGTTTATTCTCCATCATCAATGCTAAATATCACTTTTTCCTCCTAAATTCACATTATAAGTCCCTTTAGAACCATGGTGAGTGACCACAGTTAGTTCAAAATCACCTCAGAAATAGGCTATCACTGTGAACCCAAGTACACCGAAAATACATTTGGTAGTGTACGAATACTGGCTTGTGCATTTGTAGTTCAGATACTGTGAAGAAATATCTCAGGTGGTATGTACAGCATGATTTTAATTGCTAAGGTGTTTATTCTGTCTCCTTTCTTTTACCTGTCTATTTGGAGGAGAATTCATTGAGTAAATAGACTGTGAGACAGGTTATCCCAACCTGTTTAGATGTCAGTGACCAATGATGAGTCCATTTTACATATACACTGAGAATTAAGTTTGCAAATAGGAATTTTAGACAGCTCATTTATAGGCTTGGTTTGTTTTCTTATCTATAAAATGGGAACAAAGTACTCGTGCTACATAATAAAAGGCCTGATATTATTTAAATAAAAATGAATTCTGAGAAAAGACAGGGCATGGCAGTGGTAGTGAACCTACGGCTTGTGTGTTATTGTGCTTTTCTTTTAAGACATAAGATATTAATGTAGAATTATTATTTTTTTTGTCTAAACTAAAATCCCAGTACTCAGTTCTAATTGCAGTATTGACCCTGTGCAGTAAATAAGTGGGTTTTTTGTTGTAGTTTGTCACTCAGTTGTTACAAGGTTTGCCATCACTGGGGTATGGGACACATGAAAGAGTTATTCAAACTCCAAAGTATTATTATTTGGGTCCTGCCTTAGTTACTTTTCTCTCCTTGCTGAGACAAAATACCTGATGCCCAACATGAAGGAAGGAGGGTTTATTTAGCTCACAGTTTGTGGAGGTTTCAGTCCGTAATCAGCTGGCTCTCAAGGCAATGTGCTGTGGCAGGGGCAACACTTTGAGGTAGCAGAAGACAGCAAAGACGGCAAGAGCAAAAGAGGGGAAAGTCTTTTTGCCTCCTTTATATTGTAAGCAGGTTACCCTCCCTCCTCACCCCACATAGCGGATGTAGCAATCACAAATCTCCCTGCCCTTCTCTTGCACAGGTCCAGTATATTTCCTCACTCAGTGAAGACTCTGGTTCCCCTGCTGAGGCACTTAAACTTCTATACTTTTCAAGCTGAAAATATGTATTAAACAGAATTTTGAATAGAAAAAGAAGAATTTTCCAGAATAAAATTCTATTCCACGTGCTGCCCCCACAGTAAAAGGTTTATTTACAACACCCCTTGAATCTTTCTGTATAGTTCATATTATCACCCAAGTTATTGCTTTCTTGTCTTGGTGTTTTACGTGGGTGACTGAATGCACAGGGCCAAAACTGAATCAGCAGAAAAATGAAACCTGGAGGAGAGAAAATAGAAAGGGGCTCTTGAGCTTCCACTGAAGTCATTCTCATCAGTCAACCTGCCCACACAAATAGTGGGAAATCAACTCATTTCCACAACGTGGGAGGCAAACCTGAGTTGTACTAGTGCTCCTGAATGTAGGTCAATGAAAAATTGGCGGGCACACAAACTCTCATTTATAATACTCCCTACAAATGCATGTTAATTGTTCTCATATTTAAATGCTGAGAACCAACCATAACAAATGCAAGTTGTCAGACTCCTGGGAGTTTTCTAAAAACAAAATAGGATGACTATGACATAAGGTAAATTATTGTTGGTTCCTTGTGCCCTCAGCAGAATCACAAAAGAGCAAGGACTAAAGAGGAAAAAAAAATCATTCATGTCTGGTTCAAATTCTAAAATACAGAAAACAGAACGGGAGCTGAGATAATGAAATATATATTCAATCCAAGTTTGTAGGCACTTGTATGCCATTAGTCTTAGATGCCTAGCAACATAATGTTTGCTTATGAAAAGAATATTAGACAATTTTTCAGGATGATATAAACTAAAATATAATACTATTCTTCTTTCTATTTTTACCCCAGAGAAATGCTAGCTACTGTTTATCAACCCCAGTTCCCTGAATGTCCACTTCAAGAAAGGTGGGTCATAGGTTGTCAGTGTGTACAATCATTGCTCAATGCTAATATTTAGCACTTAACAAAAATGGAAGCATTGTGGTCTACAGCCACCAAGCAACCAAACTTTTGTTCATAACAAATAAATCTTAATTTATGTCTATCACAGTGTAAGTACATGCATGTGTCAAACATAGTAGACCAACAGTTTGACAGTTTATGTTTATTTAGTAATGTAATTGTTGAGCACTAACTTGATCTTTAAGGTCCTTCTGATTTCTGTGATTCTCATAATATATGTGGCTATAAAATCAGTAAGGAAGAGTCAAATTTTCTACCTTCCATTTTTTCACTATCTTAAGGATACATCTAACTGCTGCCTGGTTTTACTTGGTGTCCCCGTCAGAGTTACTTTTCCCATTCTATCTGATTTCTGTTTTCTGTCCTCCATTCTGAGTTTAGCCAAATGCATGTTCTAACACTTGGGAACCAGGAAGGAAATCAGATCTGTGCAGACCAAATCAACAGCTGCACTCACCTGTTGGTTGTAACCATTCTCTTCCTAGTCATATTTCATCTTTCTAACCTTTCTATATTTCATCTCTTTTTAGCCTTTGAAACTATATTTCCATAAGAGATTTGTAGAGAAGTCAATTTTTATGATATTGGACTAGGCAAAGAAATCTTATGTATGATGCCAAAAGAATAAGTGACGAAAGAGAGAAAAAAAAACATGATTCGGATTTCGTCAAAATTAATTTTTTTACTTCAAAAAATAATGCTTAGAAAGAGCAAAGAGAGCTCAGAGTGGGAATATTTGCAACTCATATCTGATAAGAGATTTGTATTCAGAATTCACAAAGAAGTCTGACATTCAATAATAAAAAGACAAATAATCTAATTTAAAAATGGCCACAGAATCTCGTCCATAAAAGAGATAAAGCACCAATAAGTATTTGAAAAGGAGACCCACATTATTAGTCCTCAGGGAAATATAAATGAAAACTACGCTGAGATACCACTTCACATACATTTGAATGGTTAGAATAAAAAAGAAATCAAATGAATATCAGTGTTTGCAAGGACACAGAGAAGCTGGGACCATCATGATGCTGGTGGGAACATAAAACAGCACAGAGCCTTTAGAAAAGAGTCTAGTAAATAGAGTTAGTCTATGACCCAGAAATTCCACTCCTAGATTTATATCCACAAGAAATGAACACATGTATCTACACATGACCTATACATATGTTCATGGTGGACTGAATAACAGAAAAAAGGTAGAGAAAAATCTAAATGCCCATAATGTATACGTGAACCACACACAGAGAAAAATATTACTTGGCTATAAATATTGATGAATATTTAGGAGTTACTTAGGAATAGTAGGAAAAATTGATAACAACTGATCTGAATTGTTACACCTTATTATCAAGCAGAATGAAAGAAGTCAGTCACAGAAATCCACATATTATATGGTTTAATCTTTTGGAAAGTACAGAGTAGGAAAATGAATAGTGATAGAAATTAGAGAAGCAGTTACTTAGGGTTGAAGGAGAAGGGGAGGCATCATGAAGCGAGAGAGGCCAGCTACAGAAAGGAGTGTACTTGCCTTTCAAATTGATCAATGTGCTCAACACTGTATCTAGAAATGTTTGCACACACCCGTGAATATGGTGAGTATCAATGAATTTTTCATTTTAAATGTTAAATGACTTTATGCTGTATGAATTATATCTCAGTAAAACTGTTAGAAATTGTCATCTCCTTTTAGTTTAGTTTTTCAGTAAGAAAAGAGTATACTGGGTAGATTCATCTAGCTTAACAGCCATGGCCATGCTGGCTGTTTTGTTTTGTTTTAAGATAAGAGTATAACATACAGAGATCTTTGTAACAATTTTCCCAGGGTACAGTATGGAAGAGCTGCTTCTGACCTATCTGATACAGTTGGAAGAAAAGTGGTATTATTTTGTAACACAATATACTACACACGTTTTAAAAAGATCCACAACTTGTTATCCTTTAAATGTCATAGGCAATTACAATTTGGTTTGTCGAAGAATAATTTTAAAGGATAAAGTAATGACTCACATAAATCTAAAAAGAACATGTCAAATATTTTAGTTAAGTCATTAATTAATGACAAAAGTAATAAGTAAAAGAGCTGGTTCAAAGGAGATGGCACAGGACACATAATCTATGAATATCCACAAGGCTGAACTACATTGGTTAATGGACTTAAACTTGGCCACTTCTATCGGATGATATTCCATCTAAATCCATACTGCAAAAGTTGATTTGTTTTACATGAATGAGAATTATTTACTTTATGATCAGCTAGTTATCTTCACAGAGTTGCAAATTAATCAAAGGCAAGAAAGGCTACATTTCCTATAAAATCAGATAACTCTGGAAGGTTTCCTAGATCATAGCTAATAATCCATGGCAAGATACTCAGAAATTTCTTGGTCCATTTTAAAGACTTTTGCAAGTTTTCATGATAGGTGAAAGAGTAATATGTCTGTGCATATAGTTTGATAATTTAAGTTTCTCTAGATTTGATCTGCTAAATTTTATCAGTTTACTACCTTTCTTCTATTATATTTGGTAGTATTTTAAATGTGAATAAAGTAATGATGAACTGTATAATCAATGACATTCAGATGCAATGAAATACAATCATTTCACCAATTTTCCAGTTCAGGATAGTTTTGGGACAGACAACCTCAGCTAACATCTACCTTAAGGAGGACAGAAATTATCACCTTTGATTTCTAAATCATCCACTCATATAAAAAATGTTAACATCATTTTAATTCAATTCAGAATGAATTATTTCTTACTGAAGATTTTTGAAATAAAGGACAATGTCCTTGAATCAGTAGGAAACACTGATATCAGTTTCAAAGTGTGTGTGTGTGTGTGTGTGTGTTTTAAAGAATGGTTCTAGGAAATCTATAATTAAAATAATAGCACAGACCTCTGAAAATACAAAGCACCTCACATAGTACTGGTACTAGCTGATAAGAGGTCACAGCATATGAAGGAATGGCCACATTTGAACTATGGCAGCTGAAAGAGAACCATTTTTTTGAGTTATAATGAGATACTAAGAACATTTCTCACTGAAAAGGCATGATTAGCAAGTGTAATCTCATAGATGCACAAAACGGTCCCTTTCTTAGGTTGGCAGTTAAACATTTTTATAAAGAACTCCTGCAGAAAACCCAGTATCTGTGCTACAGACTACACTTCTGCTCTTCATATACATGGACAATCTTTTCAAACTGGTTTTTATAAGTTTTTCTTTCAAAATTTTTTCACGCAGGTTAGGAGAGTTCATTTAGTTAATGCAAGAGATTATTTCCTTCAGTCATTTTTCTCAAAGTTTCTTTGAATAAACACAAAGCAGGAAAATGAGTACACGGATTTGGTATCACGTTCAGCTTTATAAGTAAGCAGCTTGAGAAAATGGAAAGGAACTGTAACACTTCCCTTAAGGAAAACTATAGAAAAGTGATGTGACCCACAGAATTTTATCTTTTCCTTAATCACTCTTTTTTTTTTTTTTTGCTGTCATCTCCTCTTTTGGGTCTTTTATTTCCTGTGAACAATTATTATCTTCATGTTTTCTCTTGTTTGTTTCAAATTCACTCTAGCAAATTTTTAAAATAACAACTCATTTTATATGAGTATCTTTCACTTACTAATTGGAAGCAAAGGTAAACAGCATTGGACCCTTGAATCCAAGCTTTTAGTGTTTCAATCCCTAATTAGGGAAGTTTGGGCAAATTATCTATTTAGATCTATGAATTATTACTATTTTAATCTGAAAAATGGGGACAACTCAGTCTCACAGACCTACTATAAAGTTTAAAGAATTTTATAAAATATAAAATGGTATATAAATGTCAATATTACGATTGTTCCTTTTTTAAAAGTCAAGAACTGGAAATATCACAGACGTAGAATGCATTACCACTTATGGTGGATTGAGTTTACAAATTAAAGAAATTTATAGGTAATTTTTACATGAAAACTCAGTTGCATAGAAATTACTTGAAGTATCACCCTTTATATCCTAAGTAAATTCATGAAGGAAATCCAATATTGAGTTAGTAATAACCATTGACATAAATTCTTAAATCAAAGAAAATGGCAGAGAAAAGATTGTAAAAGACTGACTAGTTGCAGTAAATTCTTAAACGAATCTATGTCCTAGAAATGTGTGCGGCACAGCATATGGTTGGAGAGGGTGGAGGTAAGGAAGTTGTAAGGAGACAGAAGCCTGTGTGTTGGTTCCTAAAGAAGCAAGAGAGGGTTCCTGGCCTCAGGATGATGATACACCAGGGCTTTCTTTGAAATTTCAAAAATAAATCTCAAATTCAGATTTCTCTAAAACTGAAAATAAGAATCTTGGTATACTTGAAGTAGAATCTTTTTTTACTTATGTTTCTATGAGTCCAAGTTTGATTAGAGATGGTTCAAAATGCAATTGCAGGTTATGGAAAATGTCATCAAAAGCTTGCTATTAACTTTTTCCCACTAAGAGGAATTCCATAGTCTTACTAAACCCAGAAGACTTAAGGAGATGTTGAATATTTCTATATTGCCAATATGGTAACCCATGGTTTCTGAAGTCTTCCTGTTACCAGACTCTAGATATGATAGGTAAAATATCACAAATGTCCTCTAATGAATATGGTAAATTTACAACCAAACAAATGCTCTAGCAGTTACGGGAAAACAAGACATTTGCATGGAGTATGTTAGCTTGTTCCTCTTCAGATAAATGAGAACAAAAATCAAGGCACTAGAGCTCATTAAAGTAAGAGTATCTGTGCTCCATCTTCATAGAAGGGTAGAGTTGTGTATTAGTCTGGGAGGGATGCTATAATGCATCCTATACACTAGGAAGTATATACACGACAGAAATTATCTCACAAAGTTCTGGAGGTGGGGAAATCCAAGATCAATTTCCTGGTAGTTTTGATGTCTGCTGAGGTTCCATTTTTTGATTCACAAGTGGTACCTTCTCATAGTGTCCTCACATGCTGAAACAGGGAAGGAGTCTCTCTCTGTTCTCATTCATAAAACCATAAAACCTCATTCATGATACCACTCATGAAAGCTCTACTCTCAAAATCTAATCAATTCCAAAAGGCGCCACCTCCTAATACTATGAAGTGAGTGGTAATAACACAAACATTCAGAATGCAGCACATAGAGAATAACTGGTTTACTACAAAAGTTTCAGACTAAGAAAATGTACACGCCTTTGCCTGGGCTTTGGTAGATGAAAAAAAAAAAAAGAAAAGAAAAAGAAAAAGACACTTAAACTCTTAGTGGTGTGAATTTATACAAGAAGCATCTTCAAGGAAACCTTCACACCTAGACAGTAAAGTAACCTAAGATTGCTACATCTCAGAGAATTTAGCAGAAACCCACTTAAAATCTTATCTACAAGGATATCTTTATGCAAACACCCTAAATGTTTTCCTGGATAAAATTCAAATTATCAAAAGATGATCAAATGTAAAAAAAGGAAAAAAGTGCTACCATGAATAAAGATAGTATTAAAAAACAGCAGCTCTCAAATGATTCAAAGAAACTTGAATATAATAATTAGATAAGCACCAAGTCATGTTCCACCATATCTATTATCACAGCATGTGCAAATTCTGCCATTTCAAAGAAAGAATCCCACCAATTCAGCCCATGATTATCTCGCTCCACTGAGAAATGGCCTGGTGGAAGGGTCTGACAGAGAAAAGCTCCTCAACTGTGGCAGCCCGGAAACGAGACTGGGGGTTGGGGGTAGCAAGCAACCGGGGTAGCCAATAACACTGCTTTCCCAGGCAGGGGTCACATCCTAACAGGACGTTTAACTATGATAATAGTGCCTTCACGATCCAGTAACTTCCAAAAAGCTCTACCTCTGCACACAGGAGAATTACATTTTACATCTAAAGCATAACACATCTCAACTTCTGATACATAAGATATTCACAGAGAAGGGGAGGTGTGGGCTAGGGCTATAGCTCAGCAGGCACCTGTTTGCATTATGTTCTGAGTTCAATTCCTAGTACATTCCCAACCCCTCCAAAGCATTCGGGGGACTGCTAGAGATACTGAGAAACTGATGGCTTGTATTCCTGTTGCATGCAGTGTTCCAAGTGAACAAGACAAGTTTCATGGCGATACAATAGCTGGATTTGCACAGATGTTTTTTTTTAATCATGAAGGTTATTTTCATGACTCAGTTTCCTAATTAGATACAATACAGAAAAAGAAGGAGATGGAGTCCCGTTACACAGGCTGGTGCACACAGAACTGAATAGTGAAATCTGAATGCATCACAGTGAGTCATTTTTTTTCATGAGTTAGAAACAAGAGTAAGAGCATTCAAGATGTTTTTCAGTATTTATGATCCTTTTATGATCCTGTGTTAAGATCCAATGCATCCACTTCCAGTTTTTAAAAGTTGCAAATGCAACCCTGATTCTTCTTTTAAAAGATTATGATGAGCATTATACTTTTGAAAAGAAATAATGACATCTTGTGAGATGAAGTTAGAGGGTATCATAGAAACCTTACCCTGTAACTCCTTCCTTCTGCACTGTGTTTTGTTTTGTTTTATTTGTTTGTTTTTCTGGAACCCAGAACTGAACTCAGGACCTTGCATTTGCCAGGCAGGTGCTTTTACCACTGAACTAAAACCTGAGCCTGCACTTTGTTACACATAGAAACAAATTGAGAAAGCTTTTTTTTTTGTATTTTCCCTTTTTATCGGTACCAGGGATCGAACTCACGACTGCCTGCTTGCAAGGCAGGCGCTTATGCCGCTGAGCTAAACCACCAGCCCCAAGAAAGCTTTTTTTTTTTTTTTAAAGCTACCATCTCAGTCAATCACTTCTATTTTTACAGTATACAGAAGAAAATTTGATATTAGCAGAAATATGATAATATGCAGAAATCCAAGTGAATCTGTAATTGTATTTGTATAATAATAAAATTGCAATTCCAATAAAAGTTTTGCTGAAATTGTGCATGTGTGTGAATTTATAAAGACTAATAACAAGAAGCCAGGATTAGATATGGAATTTTTTTTCCATACCGGGGATCAAACTCATGACCTCACACTTGCCAGGCAAGCACTTGCACCTCAGCTAAATCCCTGGCCTAGATATGGAAATTTTGAAGGAAAAGGTAGAGTATTCAATTCATCAAATTTCACTATTTATTGTAAAACTTTCATAATTAAGGCAGGAAATATGCAAACTCAGGGAACAGAACAGAGGTTCTAGAAGTGTGCTCATGCATATAAAAACCTCTGGTATACTGCAAATCACTGGAAAAAACGATGAATGATGCTAGAAAATTAAGTAGCAGAAATGAAAAAATGGATATCATAAACAAAATAAATTTTCTAATGAACAAAAATAAATGTTGGATGTACCAAAAATCCTGGAAAAGAAATTTGAAATTAGCATAAAAATACCTTTATGACCAAGGGGAATAGATGGATGACCTAAGACAGAAAAGTTACAGATCTTAAAAGAACAAGACTGACCCACTTATTCCAGTTTAACTCAATAATCTCTGTTCATATAAAAACATTATAGAGAAATTGAAAACTGTTAACAAAGTATTGCCTGGTAAAAGCACGTTAATCACGTTTCAAAGACTTTCTACGAATCAGTAGCCCAAGAAGGCAACAGATGAAAGAAAACAGCAATCCAAAGAAGCTGAGACTGCCATGGCCAAGAACTACAAAATGACAGTGACCACAGAAAAATACCATGTACCTTCAGATGGGCAGACACAATTAAGTCAGGAATGAGTCGGAATATGGAGCAGGGGAACCCTGGCGTTGTCATGGTTGAGGGTACCTAGATACACCTGCGTGCAGGTTAATATGACATATTCAGCAAAGATGTAGGTGTGGTTTATGTATGAGGAGCAATTTGCTCCCGAGTGTTTATATCCTAGTGAACATCTTGAGTAAGACACAAGTCAACAAATGCTCATAGCATATTACAAAGAAATAAAGCACTGAGAATGTAGGTAGCTGCAGTCACATCTGGACTGTTTTACTTCTGGGAGATGAAACATACCACATGTGTCAAAATACCCAGTGAACATTTAAATATTTTTAAGTGATTATCCTAAAAGACAATGTCATTAATTTCCCTTGAAATGCCCCCCTCTTGCTTCAAATACACTCAACCCAGTAGGAAGCAGCTCTGGAAATCCTCTTTTGTGAACTTCTTTCTCAGTTGTGATCTGTATGGTGAATGATGCTCCCCAGCACCATCCAATGGAAAGCCAAGCTCATAACAATAGTGGCGGGTCCTCATCCAGCTGTTTCACTAGTTCTGCCTCAGTGAGACTTTGGGCTCTTCCCAAAGTCAAAATCAGAATGAGAGGTAAACATGCTTAATCCATCATAACATCCTTACAACCACTGTGAAAGAGGACTTGCAAGTCTCTTTCAGAAAGTGGCAAAAGGAATGGGATACGAGTGTTCAAAGCAAGAGGAGGTATTTTAAGGTCGATTAAAGGCATTGTCTTTTACTGTAATAAAATTTTTAAAAAACCATGATATTTTTAATTGCACAAAGTTGATTTTTACTCATTTTCATAAAAATGTAGAGAAAAAAATGATTACTTCAAAAGTCCAAGATTCAGTTATGAACACATAGGTGATAGCACATCGCATTATGCTGGATCAAAACATTACCACGGGTAGGAAATGGTAAGAGTTCTGCTCCCGTCATGCCCAAGGCCCCTTCTCAGGGAAACACTGCTTGACCAGGTTCAGTATGTGCATATTACTATGGCAAACACAGGATGCAAGGACTCTCCTAAGAGCCCAGAGGAACGGTTTTGAATCTTTTATTTCAAGATGAGGATGGTGCAGCTCTTGCCATCCTCCTCTTCCTTCAAGCTCCTACCCTGGTGCAATCCTGGAGGAGTGGTCACCACCGTAGCAGAAGGAAGTCCACCACTTTCTAGAATCTGCCATTGCGAACAATGGGAATTCAGAAAGTAAAACTGTTTGGGTTGAAATGTTTTCAGAAAGCTTCTAATGGGAGCTCACGTCAGTTTCAGCCAACAGCTTCAAAGCCTGTCACATACTTTTGTGCAGTGGAGGAAATCTGTTCTTTCTGTGCTTTCAAGTTCTGATGAGCTCAGTAGACATGCTTCAAAATAGCTCCAGTTTTTCCTAATTGTTTAAGCAGTGGCTCCTGGAAATGATTTAAATAATCTTTTCATCTTTAATATATTTTTCTTTTGAAAATCTAAGTCTTACCTGTTAAAGAAGAATGACAGAGTTTTCATTGGTACAACCTTAGAGGTATTACAATCAGGGTGTGATCCCTCGGCATTCAATCAGAGATCTTTGATTAAGCTACTGTTATTTTTATACTAAAGTTGACTCACCTCATAATGCCTAGTGGAGCTTTTTTTTTTTTTTTGATGAGCATTTAATTCATAAACAGATCTCTCTCACTTTTTGTTCCTTTCAAATCAGACAGGTTTTTAAAAACTAAAATCTAATACAATAAGTAACTATTAGGAAACATTTTAAATTTTAATAACATTAGCTTATCTATGGCATCTCAAGGGTTTCAGTCTGAAAATAAGAACATCAGTTAGAACATGCACTTCTAAAATGTAAAACAGGTTTTGGTATGCAAAGTCATGAAGAAAGTTGGACAGATATGACACCAAAACAATGATCCGTACAGGAAAAACTGGACTTCATTAAGATGAACTTACTTAGTTAATTTAATTTCAGAAAATTAAAATGAAGCCAAGAACACTTAGAAAATATTTGCAAGTCATATATCTGATAAAGGGTATATATCTAGAACATCTGAAGGTCTATTATAACCATGAGAAGCCAATTAGCACATTGAAAAAAGACCAGAATAAAATCTCTAACAAATATATACAAATTCCCACAAGAACAAAATGCTTGACATCTTTAGTTAGCAGGAGGACACAAAACAAAATCACCGGGAGATACCATCTTTATACTCACTGTGGCTGCAAAGAGAACAAAACAAAACTGCAGAGAAACTGGTATACTGGCAGGATTGTAAAATGATGTAGGCACCATGGAAATGGTCTCTCAGTTCCTTCCACAGGTTAAACATGTGCTACCACATGATCCAATGATTTCACTTCTAATATAAGCCAAAGAGGCATAGAAAAAAATAAAAAAAATAACAAAATCTCCTTTCGTGGAGCGGTCTACTCACTGAGGTTCCACTTCAGGCCTGTGGTCGTCACCTGGTTACAAGGCTGTCCAACAGGAACCAGGCCACACCAATCTCCTTCCAGTCCAGTGTTTACATGGAGTTTATGTTTTCCCTGAAGGGAGAAGGAATGACCATTAAGGAAGGGAAAAAGAAAAGGAAGGATATTAAGGTGGCCAGAACACTCAGTGATGTGTACTAGGTGCTGGCCAGGGATCTTCTCGGTTTTTTTTTTTTTTTTTTTTTTTTAATCTTAACAAACCATTTATTTATTAAATGCTGAATAATCCTACAAGTTTGCACTTAACTTGAATCTCACAGCTGTTTCATGGCAGCGTGTTGTTCACTAGTAATTTTACACATGAGAAAAATCAAAGCTTGCAGATATTAAATGTATCCAGGGCCACATGGATGGAGAAGACTCTTTCCTATTCCTGCCAAATCTATGCTAAAGATGTAGCACTAGGTGACACAGCATTCTGGGGTCTTACACACTTGTTTGAATGCATATAAAGCATTGTTTCCCAAGTTAAATCCTCTGATTACCTAGACATCAGATTTCAAGACCTCGGAGTTCAAAATCAACCCTTCCTCCATAGGGAAGGTTCAGGAAAAATGTACCTCTACAGGCAATAGTTTTTATTCTATGAGAAATGGTATGTTTCTTCCAGTCTGATCATAAAAGCATAAAATTTATTATGTTTTCAATCTTTCAGATTATGGGAATGTTAAAATTTAATGGAATGCTCAATCAAGGTGACAATGTTTGTTTTTAAAATAAGATATTTGGATATCCTCCTGCTTCCTCAGAGTAATAAACATCTATCTACTTTTTCTACCATTATTGAGGAATATCGTCTTTATAGAAAGATAACTCAAGTCCTTTGGGAACATGCCAAGGCACACATACGTGCAATAATAGCAGAAAGGTGTTTTTCTTAACTCATAATGCCTTATCTATTCAAAATATGATATATAACCAGAATAAAGTAACTAGGTCTCCTTTGGTAGTCAATTTACCATATCTTTGTACTCAGTGTTGTAGATTTCCAATGTAGGTTTATTGTGCTTTATATAAAATCTCAGGGTAGAAGTGGACTTGTTTTATCTTTTGTTGAAGAACTGCTTTTACTATTAGAAAAACAATTCTCTACATTTTGTATAAATCCCTGAATTTTAACACACATTCATTCAGACTCTTACCAATTACAATGCCTACACATAATTGCAGAATATGTTTTCTATTTTTATTCGAACAATTAATCAGATAGCCATGAGTTCAATTAAAAGGGTCTAAATATAATCCAACACCAGGGATTTTGTTTTTGTTTTTGTTTTGCTTCTTTTTTGGTACTGAGGATTGAACTCATGACTTTCCACCTGCCAGGCAAGTGATTATGCTGCTGACCTAAAGCCCCAGCCCCACCAGGGAATTTTTAAAGGAAATATAAAAGTCATTTTGAATGTGGTGGTCCTCACTGGGAGAGAAGACAGGGAATAGGTATAGACATAGTAAGCAGTGGAATAGATGCACACAGGTGGGTTAAAAGCATGATGGACTCTGAAAGGGGGAATCATAATGTACGTAAGCAGTTGTGGAATGAGACATGAGATAGCCCTTCTCTTTGCCCAACCATAACTTGCTGATTCATGAAACTTCAGGCTAGAGTTAGAGACACAAATAGACTTCATAAAACTGATGGGCACGTGGAAGGCAAAGCAGAAGCTGAAAAGACTGCATATCAGTGACCTCATCATAGCTGGGAACTGGGGTGGCAGGTAAGCAAGGCGTTTTTTGAAGAGCAAAGCTTGTGCTGGGGACTCAAGGATGAGCAAGCTTCAACTCTGCAAAGAAATGAGGCAGGAGTGGTCTGCACACCAAGGGAAAATGTGCCTAAAATCTACCAGGGAGACGAGGAGCATTAGACACCAAATTATGGGCCAAGTATGTAGGGATCTGTGTGTGAAATAAAGAACATTTTTCAGGCAGTGAAACCATTCCATGTGGCACAGAAATGATGAATCTGTGACATCAAGTATTGGTCAAAATCCACTGAATGCACAACACTCAGTAAACCCTACTGTTACTTATGAAAATTAGCTAACAATGTATTGACATTAGTTTATCATCTGCCACAAATGAACTATAGTAAGGCAAGTTAATGGGGCATGCTGCAAGGAGGGGACAGGTATAGAACTGTGTCTAATATGCTCAGTGTTCCATAAACCTAAAAATGCTCCAAAGGAAGTCTATTAATTTTAAATGTGTCTCACAGCGATCATTTTGTTTCTTACTGCTTACGTGGGACCGACTGCAATGAGCTGGTGGGTCCGAAACCTGCACCAGATGAATGGTGCCACATCAGGATGGCATGCAACCGCCTCTCAGCAGCTGTTACCAAGTATCCTGTCATTACTTCTAAAAACAGTTTTTATTTTAAGGCACAAGCTGCCTTTATTCCTTGCTATAAAGATTTCTACTAAATCGATTTAGATGGAATAGCCTGCCACAGAAACCTGAGTTTTGTTTCTTCCTGCATTCTCCAACATAGAAATACTAATCTCTACAGACAGAAATCCTACATACAATACAAACCTCCCAAAGTAGGACACTTCAAATAATTCAGAAATTCTGGAAGCCTCTTCTGTGATGAAACAAGTTGAGGACAGACGCGTTTGCAGAAATTCTGATTTTCTTACAATTAATTTTACTTTCATTAACAAAGCAAGTGGCACTGAGAATGACTTGTTATGGAAGGCACCTCCTGGCCCAGTTTCTGGTTGAAATGCTGTACGTTCAGGGCCCCCACTATTAAGCACTCCATTTTGGGAAGCATTTCTTCCTGTTAACCTGTATCTTCCTGGGAGTGCTGACAGTACAATGCAATGGGACTCAAGGGTTGGTATGCTTGTTGTGCCTGATAACTTTAGTAAAGAATGAAGAAAAAAAAATTTTTTTCAACTGGTGGCTATTAACTCCCGGACAGAAGAGTCTTGAATTTGTATCATATAATACAAAAGAAATAGCACATATACATGTGAACTTTTATTTTGCCAGGGAGAGAACAGGCTGTTATAAAATCACTAAGTTAAAAGACATGGTAGATAAGCTTTCTTATCTAGCTTCACTATATATGCATTGCCTTCTTCATATTTTTAAGAATCAACCAACCTTCAAATTTTCAATCAGGGAATAAATTGGTTTGTGGGCTTAAGAAGTCTTAGCTTACAATCAATTAACATTTTTTCTCTTGTTCCACAAAGATGTTTTGCCATATGTGAATGGCTTCTTTGTTCATAAATAGGCAGATGTATTTTTTGTTGTTGTTGTTGCTAAAAAAGAGCAACATTACACTTTTCTCTTACATTTTCAAGTCTTGTGTCATCTTTGATGGAGGAACTTTCATTCATTCCCTAAATTTCTCAGTTAATAATATATGCTAGTCTCTATGTGGTTTGACACAGTCAGCCACACATTAAAGAACTTCCTTCAGGATTTATGCCATTCCTAAAGACTAGAGGCACATGAACTAATCATGTACTTCCATCTCCTCTCATGAATCATTGCACAAGTTTCAGCTCTGTCCTCCTTTGTATAACTCTTTGAAGTCAGAGGCAGTTCTATACAGTAAAAGAGGAACAAAAATCAATCACATACAGTTTGCTTCAATTGTGGTTACTTGATCATATATAATAATTTTAATAAGGAATGAACTTGTAATTTAGTAAAAGGTGATAAAGATGTTGGGTGACAAATACACTGGATATTGTGCTTAAGATCATGATGATTACAGCATCACGGATTACTTTCCTTATACCATAATTCCCAACTAGAACAAAATTCATAGAGACAGATATCTATAAAAGTAAAAGAATTCTCTGTTGCTTGTTTTGTGTTATTCTTTTTCTTTGAAAATGACTCTAACTTAACTAAACGATGAAAGCACAGCCTGTATTTTGTATTTGAAAATCATCAAACATATAGGAATTTGAATTCTGTTTACATCTTTGAATCCTTAACTGCAATAACAATGCCAGCATTTTTGCTGAGATATCTTAGTGTGGGTATCTCACAAAACATGCAGGAAATTAGTAAGGTCATCACAGGAGGAACACAGGGGAACGTTCGACTTAATGTGAAAGAGTCAAGGACCAGGTGCTGATGGCAGCTTATAGAGTAGATAACCACGTGGCACACTTCTATTTAGGTGTAACTTTCACTTCACAGCCAGTGACAGCTGGAACTGCAATGACATTTGTAGAACCAGTAAAAATGGAGGATGGCGGCAGACTGATAAACACAAGGTTAGCTTCTGGTACCTCATCTTTTGTTAGTTCCTCGGGGTACTTTAGTAATTTATCAACAAAACTGCAAAAGACTGAATAGCCTATAAGAGGAGAAGTGAAGAAGCAGACTGAGGGACCTATCAGGAGACAGGTAGCAGGAGAGGAGACTACTCACACACCAAGAAGGACCTGTGCTGGGTGGGATACCGTCATGCTGTGATGTTCGCATGACAGAGAGCAGTCACAGGACAAAGTGTCTCCATAGAAAACCACAAAGATAGAGATTTGTATATTTTCTTTGATTCTGCTCTATAATGTAGAATTCAAACTTGAAGTGTGAAAAGTTTAATTGAGACAACTTGTACTGAATCAGATATATCTATGTCCACATTACATATATAAGGTATGTACTGTAACAGATGTACTGACTCAATGTTATATACAACATGAGTATGCAATGTACTGTATTGTATTTAATCCATATGGTGAATCTCTCTATATAAAAGTGACATATATGTAAAGATACATATAAAACAGTAGCCCTTAGATATATAACAGTAGATTTTAGATATATAAAAGCAGCTTTCTGAGTTTCAGATCATATTAGATCATTTGTCAAAGAGGTCATTTCTAGAGTAAGGTCCAGTAAAACTGGAAAGATTGCTTTCAGGATCATTCCCTTGATAGTAACAGTGCACACCACCATGTTCCATGCTCTAGGTAGTCTAGAAGCAAAACAAGAGCAAAAAACAAAAAAATAAAACATCATGTTTACCTGAATGAGTGTTTCCCTAATTCACCTGATCACTGAGCAACCCCACACCTCTG